TTATGTTCCGTTTGTTACTGTTTTGTTTTTTTTCCAGATGGGGAATTTGATGATGTTGAAGACAAGGCTACCTACAAGTCCATGCTGACCAGGGACGAGAGACGTTTCAAGAACGCTGACCGAGACGGTGACGGTATTGCCACTCGTGAGGAGTTCACTGCCTTCCTTCACCCTGAGGAGTTTGATTACATGAAAGATATAGTAGTGCAGGTATAATTTACTTTTTAACAGTCAGGAACTTTGATCACTACGAGTACAGTTGGCATATCATATTACATATTTTGACACCTGCATGAACTGGTGTGCGTGTGATGATACGAACACTGAAATAATTCTTAAATGTTTTGGAATATGTTGAACTGAGAAGAAACAGATCTATTTTGGTCAGAAGGATATATACCATTGATAATTGTTCAAATTATAGACACTTGTATTTCATCACTTGCTGAAATGTTTTAAACTGTTATTTGTTACACAGAAGAGACTAATATAATGGAGAAACTCTAACTTGTTTGTGAAAACTGAATATTAAGGCAAAGCTATGGAGAAAAATGATCATTTGTTTGCATGGATTTGCAGATCAGTATTTTTTACATATGGCAGCTGGGGTGGCTTTGTACCTTAGCTTTACTTTTTCGTTAAATTCAAACAAGCACATATGATTTATACTGAATAGTACACAGAATATTGTGTTTTTAGGGGTTTAAACTGCACATCCTTCTTTGCCCATAATCATCCCAGTTTATGATACAGTTATGATTCTATTTATGTAACAGTGAAATAGCACAAGCAGTTTTTGTTCATAGGTCCCCTTATTGTTCAGAAATTTGCTTGATTCATTAACTTGAGTTTAACTCTATGAATGGACTGCCATGAGAATAAATTGTTTTCTCCTTTAGGAAACTGTGGAAGACATCGATAAGAACGGGGATGGCAAAATAGCCATAGATGAATACATTGGTAGGTGACTTCTGTTTTCTCTCTGACCAACTCCCCTGCCACTCCTAACCTGGAGGCAACTTGTCATTAAATGTGTGTGTGCTGCTGCTCCACAGGGGACATGTACACACCAGAGGAAGGGGAGAGTGACCCCGATTGGGTGCAGACAGAGCGGAAACATTTCTTAGAGATCAGAGATACCAACAAGGTAAAAGCTGCTCAGCTGTTCAAAACTGCTTTGTTTAGTTGTTTCTCAGCACAGCAACATGAGGTGGTGACCTGGCCAGGGTCCCAGGCTGGCAGAACCTTGACTATAACTGTCTGCTGTGGATATTTTTATGATAACAATGTGCCAATGACAAAGTGAGAACAATGTGAAGAGCTTTATAGTGAGTTTCAGCTCATTGTTTAGCTGTCAGAGCCACAACTGTACTGAGTCTCAGACACAGTTAGGGACTAGCACTTGGTTAAAGAGCCAGATATTTCTGTCATGGGTTGGTGGAGACTACAGAACTAACAGAATGAATATTGGACTTGCATTCATCAGGTAGACATAAACGGCACTCCAATTGAATGATCATGAGAAATAAGCAACTTTAAAGGTACTGATATGTCAGTGCTGTGCCAGTAATTGCAGATTTAAAGAACTCATGGCATGCTCGTTTCCAGCCATTTAATGTTTAATCTTGGGCACCTCTGGATTAGCTTTGCACCCATCATAATTCCAAATATTCTGTAATTATTTCAGAATGATTAAACCAGAGAGCCTCTTCCTAAAAATGAGAAGATGGTTCATGAATATGCACAACTCCTGCCGCCGGTGTTGTGGAAAGTGGACTGTGAACTGCAGCAGCATTAATTAATTTAAATTTCTCCTCCATAGATAGGTAAACAATGGTATATGTACTGATGAAAAGAGACGTGTAACACTCTAAACAAAGCAGGTAATTGAGAAACCCCATATTTTAACTGGCATAATGCAGACATAGTAACTTCTCCAGCCTTACAGCAATCCCAACATTACAGAAACAAGGCATTAACAGACATGTAACGTGGTAGCATAGCACTACAATAGCATCATGGATCATTGATCCTCTCCTTAATCCGCAACTGTCTGGGGATTATAACCATAGTTTAATAATTTTGTTAGAAAACAGTCTCGCAAGCCAGAGTCTGTGAGTATAAACCGAGTTACTTCTGCATAGAAATACTAGATCCTACTCTACATACACCTAATTTTTTGAGCTTTAGGTCACATGTAAGATGATAATTCAGAGTTGTGGCATTGTAAATAAGTCAAAAAACAAAGAAAAGCATGCCATGGGCTCTTTAACTATATATATATATATATATATATTTGGGGGGCTGTGAGAGAGCGAGAATATAAGAAAGATCGAAATCTTTGCAGCTAAAACATCCTGTTAGTCCCTCCTATGGTTTAAGTTCCAAAAGCACTAAATCCTACATTTCCCATAAACACATCTACATTTATCTAACTCCAGGTCCCCAGTTTGTAACGCAGGCTTTCTGCTATAAATGTGTAGTCTTCTAAGATAACCCTGATGACATAATCATGGTTGTATCCTTGACACATCTCCTCCACACAGGGCAACAACAGGGTCTGTATCAGTATGCAGTGATGATCTATTTGCTTTCATGTTGTCAAGGAATATGACGGATATAACACTTGTGTGAATGTGTTCATCTCACAAGTTCCTTCGTGTGACAGCGGAGATCAGTTTTACTTGCTCGGCCTTCAGCGTCATTATTCCTGTGCTCTGACATGCTGAGTGGATTGATTTCTCTGATCTGTGAGAGACACTCACCTCCTCAGTAATGCACCTGTGTGTTGTGCAGGATGGCTACCTGGATGCTGCTGAGGTGGCCCACTGGATTTTGCCAGGAGAGGTTGACCATGCTGACAATGAAGCCAAGCACTTGATCCACGAGACAGACACTGATAAGGTACAGTGGCCACCACATTAGAAACTGTGCCTTTGATACAGCCACATCTCACACTGCCCTTTTTTCAATACCAGAGGTTTTACTGTAGGTTCTTCATTCTAAAAATGGTAATAGAGAATGGAAACTGACACTACTATTAGATCAAACCATCTTTTTATATCATCAGTTGTGCACCCTTCTCCTTATACACTATTCACTGAACGAGTAAGAGCATCCCATGAATATGACAGCTCATTCGCTGTTCTCCACAGTTTAGGGTTCATTGCTCCACCGTTTTTAGAGTTTTGTTTTAGCATTCCTGGCGTTCTGAGCTTCTCTTCTCCATTTCTGTGTGAGATGTGTGCACTCAGCACTCGGTCTCGTGCCCTTTTATGGGCATTGGCAAGGCATAAACCTATGCTAATTAGGAACAACGGGCATGCGCTTTCAACTTACAAATACATGTGAATGATCACTGTAAGAACACGGATACAAACAATTCTGCAGTTTAAGAACACGTTCATGAATCAGGTGTAGACTTTTCTTAGGACCTTAAGAACAAACTAAGAAAAAATTTAAGAAAACACTTGGGAAGATGTTTGTGGATGAGGCCCAGTGAGCTTGTGTTACTAACAAGTATTGGTAAATGGTCTTATACTTGTATAGCGCCTTTCTATGTTTTTACAGCACACTCAAAGCGCTTTCACACATTATTCAGCCATTCACCTATTCGCACACACCGGTGACATCACCGGGAGCAACTGGGGGTTCAGTGTCTTGCTCAAGGACACCTCGACATGTTGACTGGACAAGCCGGGAATCGAACCGCTAATCCTCCGGTTAGGAAACGACCCGCTCTACCTCCTGAGCCACAGCCACTCCCGACTATTGTGTATCACATCCTGACATACAGGATCTTCTTCTCTGCGCCATAGAGCTCCACAGACTTTTATAAACATATTAGTGAGCTACATGTTTGCACTGGGTGACAGGTTCCTTCATCACCATGAACACACACACACACACTAGTTTATTCTGACTCAAGCCCACACACACTGTCCTGCTGCCACACACACTCGCTACAGCAGTACAGGGACTTATTGACCATCCAGCTGCTAACTCTATACACTGAGCCAAGCTAATATCGATCCACCACCTAGTGTTAGAGTAGGATAGCAAAGTAATGAAGCATTGCTAGAATTAGTAATTGTAATGTAATTACTGAATTGTCCCTTGCACTACTCGTTACTGAAAAAGGTTAGCAACATTACTGTAAGGTGTTAATGCTGCCAAGTGATGCACTGGGCTTGGAGCTGAGAGCTACAAAGTGTTGAGACACACAATAACATGTCGGTTGATGATGAGAGCTGTATAGAAAAACTACAGCTTATCCTAAGTTATCCTTTTGATAGGGCTACATTGAGTTACCAATATATTAGGCACACCTTGCTTATACAGGCTAACAGACAGCCCTGTTGTACATACGTCGATAAAGATTGTAGTCTGTTATTGTTGGGAATGTATTGAAGAGATGGTGTTTGATTTGAAACTCATTCACAGTTTGACATGCAGTCAGTTCCTGGTGTGTGCTGTCAAGTACATCAGTTAACATGGTGCCAATGATTGGGGTAATTGTGGGTTAACTATTAACAACCTTTTCTGTCTCTCTCTCTCTCCCTCCTATTTTTCCCCTCCTCCTCCTCTTCCTCTTTCTGTCAATCACAAACCAATGTTGGATGGAATCTGCTGATCAAACAACAGGATGACAAAATAACCAAGAAGGAGATTCTGGCCAACTGGAACATGTTTGTGGGCAGCCAGGCAACCAATTATGGGGAGGATTTAACGAAGAATCACGATGAACTTTGATGAGCCGTCAGGTTCCGAGAGAAGCTCATTTGGGGTTATATTTAACTGCAATAGAGATTTCTGTTCCTGTGGTTTTGGGTGGGGCAGGGGAGGGACTTAATACAGTCAGTAAAGTATGGTTCTGACTCTAGGCTGACTCTGTATGTTGACATCAAGGGTATAATCATGTGCCCTTATACACACGTGCACAATACACAACTTCACACACAGACTTACTTCAGCATGTAGGCACATACTGTGTATGTGACCCTATACACAACCTTCTCCCTGTTTTAGCTGCAGATTATAGAGATAACATATCGTTTGTTGTCCAGTGACAAATGTATCTCCTAAATATCACAGCTACAACCAACATGCACTGGCATCCACTTGAAACAATGCTGCCTTCAAGCCAAAGAAGTTCAAAAGTGCCTTCAATATACGGGGATGCAGTTGTTCGTTTTTTTTTTTTTTTAAAGCCAGCAAACGTTGTTTTTTTTACTGAGACACAAATGGTTACAAATGTCAGAAAGCATGTGTATGTTTGTAAACATCTGCTGCCCAACAGTGCATGGCTTTCAGACAGCAGAACAAAGAGGGGGTTTGGAGACTGGCTGATTTGGTGTTACTGACTTTCTACAGCTTGACTATGAAGTAAAGTCTTTTTTTTCTACAATTAGTAGTTTTTATTTTGCACCAACCACAAATTGCCACACAAGTGACATTACTGGATTGTATGATTGTAATTCTGATTGATATTATCAATATCTATCAATAGTTTATCTTTGCACTTGTGTGAGATGTTCTGTTACAATTTCCTGCCTCCATTATGACATTACAAGGTCTTGGTGTTAAACTTTCTAAAGCAGAGGTGAATCTGGGCAGTGAATTCAATATGAACACTTACTGTGTCAACTTTCAGCACAGAGGTATTGTAATGATATAATCTTATGTCATTTCTGTAGTCTAAATCACTTCAGTCAGATGCATTTATAGTTACGTTTTGGTTTTACACATGAAAACTTTGGTTAAATAAAGCTGTACTGTTTAAATATCATGAATATTTTTGTACATTATATTCAGAGGTGTCCCTAATATTCTGACCCTCTCATGTATGTAGATGGGGAAGACAAAAATATAGAGACACCTCTGGATATAATGTCGACAAGTACACCACCACCTTTAACTATGACCTCAATAATAAACATAACTGAGTTTATACATTCGCCAAAAACTGAAACATTTTGAGCTTCATAAACATAATCATAATCAACAAACGCGTGGACAAAGGGGGGGGGGGGGGAGGAAAGCTCCAGTATTTTGCAGCTGGTCATACATTGTTGTCACTGAATTCTTGCATCGTGATTGATTCGAATTGTTATTGAGGAAAAGTCACATCCCTAAGCTTTACCGATGGGTAGAAAACACTCTTCTTCCTTATAGTGTTGACTTCATTTTCAGTAAGACAGAAGGCAGTGATGATTGATACCCAGTGGAAAATCTATGAGAAACAATCTGAAGGGAAAGAAGTGGTTAAATAAGCCAATGTAAGATACTAAGGAAATGACTATGCAGGGTACAGTACACATTACAGTCCTTTGGTAACATACATAATTTGCACTGAAGTAATAGTCTTTTTATGACATGCCAAAAAATGGTATTTTGTGAAAAAATAACTGGCAGAACAAATAAACCTTTGTAAAAGCCACTTGCAGACATCAGGGGCCCTCTATGGAAATGTTCCTCACACTGTCATCTTTAGTCATTCAGCTCCACTGGCATAATCACAAAGTATCACGGCTTTTGTCGTCGTCTAACCATATGTAAAATAAAAACCACAAGTACTAGCTGTATTCATTTCCATATTTCTACCCCTCCCTGTGCTCTGTTCGTCAGGACGGCCGTCTCACACTTTCTGAGCTGTTGGACAAGATCGACTACATCAAGACCAGTACCATCACGGATTATGGCGGCATGAAAGTGGATGGCCATGATGAACTGTGAAAAGTGTTCTACAGCACAAGAATGCACTTCATGATGTTTTACAGCTTGTCGAGCTCAGAGTGAATGTGAGGATGTCCTCTAAAGCACAAGGCAATGTGAACTGAGGATTCCCAGATGCATGTTCAGACACACTCTGACTGGGCTTCGCCCAACGCTGCATATGGATACAGAATATCATCTCTGAAAGTACAATAAAAACAACCAGCCATTGGTTTCTGTATTTTTAATGTAAACAACATGAAAATTGCTTAAAGTGATCCTACGCATCATGTCTACTTCAACTACTGTTACATGCAGTTAAAGGTAATGAATGATTTCATAGGCTAACATGAACATTAAACATACATACAATGACTATAGCCAATACCCAGTAAATGGAAACAAGTGTCCGGCTGAAAAGTAAACTGACAACACACTGGGGAGGAAGTCTGTTAAAAAATATATCATCCTTTGTCATCCCGTGAAACTACAGTGAGGGTGTAGATAAAGTCACAGTGACAGCACTGTTCAGTCACACTTGCATCACTGGACGAGCCTCTTTGGCATTGAGGTCAACGCCGGACGCAGCGAAGCCGGTTCCACCCTGTCAGAACATGGTACATACCGTCAGCACCACAAGTTCATGTCAGAGTACAGATACAGTCTGGAGAGATGTGGGAAACTAAATTGTACTCCTGCTTAGTGTGCAGCAGCAAGAAACAGAAAAAAGCTTGTTTAACTAAATAAGCTTCAGAGTGAGTCATCACCACCGTCTGCCATCGAACAGGGGCACAACTCCCCACCACCATGTCTCTTTTCATTGTGTCTACACCCATATGAGAAAGCACCTGGGCCTGTATTTATTAAACATCTCAGAGGAGGAAATCACTCCTAAGTGGACAGAAATTCTAAGAATCGTGCACTTTTGGTCCTATCTTTAGGAGTAGAAGTGCTTTGTCAGCATTCCTAGCTTAGGAAATCACTGCCATCTCCACCAAAATATAGGATTAGCTCCAGTTTGGCCAAAAATACAATAGCATCTGTGCAGGACTCAGAACATCTCGGTTTCTGTCTCCACAGAAACCTTCACTTGAAAAGCAGAGCCAATATCACCATTTCAGTTTTCTACTGTCTAAAGCTACAAATGTCAACAGGAAAGGTGCACAAACACAGGAAAAACAAACTAGACAGCAAAAAGTCTGGCAGCATTTGCAGTGTTCCGAGCAACTTTAACACAAAGATAAAAGACCAAAACACATTTCGGCATAAAGCCCAGACTTTTTGCTTTCTAGTCTGTCCCGCCGCTCTACACAGAAGTACACGCATACCCTCTGCAGTGGAATGATGTCTTTGTCAGACAGTTTGTCTCCAGTCATGGGATCAATCATGTCTTTCTTGATCAACTTCTCCACACACTCCTGAGTCACCACAGCACCCCTGAACACCAGGACGGAGAGCGGGTCACTTCATCACAGTACTACCACAGAACACTTAACATCTGAATGTCAGGGTGAGGGAAGATATGGTGGCACTCACGAGGGTCGTAGAACAGCGCAGGGAACACTGTTGCCCAGAGCATCTCTGGTTACTGCACACACATACCTATCCTGGAGACAGAGGACAGGATTAAATCCATCTGCTGGCACAGAACAGGATGTGAGCTGCTCTGCTTCATGTCACTGGCAGCTTTACTTGTCAAACTAAAGGAGACAGTTCTGGAAACATCTTGCAGAATAAATAATTCACTAGTTAATCCAAAAATGGAGAGATTAATTGATAATCAAAATCAATAATAATATTTTCATGATTTGTTAACAATATATAAAATAAAAAACACTTGACTTGCCCTTAAATGTAAGTCAAGTCCTGGAATGTGGTGGAGAAAAGAAAAATCCCCTTTACTACAGACACATTTGAAAACAATTCCAAATCACTGGACTAAATCCTTTTCACATTCAGCTCCAGTGTCAATTTTGTTCATGAAAACTATGACTAAAAATATTTGTTGATGACCTATTTTTCAGTAAAAAAAAAACATATCTGACTAAAACGAATATGCATTTTTATCAAAAACTAAAACTAAATCAAATTCAGGTGTCAAAATTAACATGGCTCAGTTTTTACACTTCACTTTCAGACTTTAATTGCCAACTGTCAAACCTCTGTAATTCCTTTCTTGTGTTCAAACAAGACACTTCTAAGTTACAGCAGAAAATCAACCAAACTGCCTGCAGTAAGGAACACACACACCTGGTGAAGTGGTCCAAGTGGGCTGCAACTGAAATGTCTGTGTATATAAGACCTGTGAACTGAAGCTTCGCATAACCAGCATCATTCACTGGGTTGCACAGTTAGCGTAGAAGACCTTGCTACATGTATGTTATCTGCACTGTCCAGTTATGTTATGTGAACAAGTTACAGTGGATATAAAAAGTCTACACACCCCTGATAAAGTGCCAGGTTTCTGTGATGTAAAAAAAACGAGACCAAGATAAATAATTCCAGAACTTTAGCCACCTTTAATGTGACCTATAACTTGTACAACTCAATTGAAAACAAACTGAAATCTGTTTTTCAGTGGAATGTAAGAATAAAAAACTAAAATAATGTGGTTGCATTAGTGTGCACACCCTTAAACTAATATTTTGTTGAAGCACCTTTTGATTTTATTACAGCACTCAGTCTTTTTGGGTATGAGTTTATCAGCAATGCACATCTTGACTCTGCAATATTTGCCCACTCTTCTTT